GAGGCCTTCTGCATCGAGTTCAGCCGCATCAGAGAAGCTGCCGGACTGTTCAGGCTGCTGAAGACCCTCGACACCGGAGAGACCCCCGAGAACAAGCCCGTCAAATAGTGATCGCACAGAGACTGTTCCTGAGACTCAGCACCGCCCCTCCATCAGCTGGGAGTAGAGTTCATTTTGTAAATATTTAGTGACTTTAAACCGGTTCTCTCTCTTTTCCAGAAGTGTAAAACAGGACTCGATTCACGTCTCTTTTTTTTACCAGATCTCTTTTTCTTTGGAAATCTCGCCATGTTGTCTCTGATTAAAGATGTTTCACTGACTCCTGCCTGTGCTCTCTTTATTACATCACGTGGTTCCACTTCCTGTTTGTAACTGCATGAGACATGTTTATCTGTAGTCATCCACTGGACCCTCGGAGGGGAAAGACCACTAAACTACAAACATGGCGGCTCGTTTAGAAACTTTTGTAATCTTAAAAATACAGAAAGTTTAAAACAGGACTCGATTCACCGTCTCTCTTTTTTACACATCTCTTTTTCTGATTAAACAGATGTTTCACTGACCCCTGTTTGTGCTCTCTTCTTTGGCCCACTCCCAAACCGCCCCCTACACACTACGGCCCACTCCCAAACCGCCCCCTACACACTACGGCCCACTCCCAAACCGCCCCCTACACACTACGGCCCACTCCCAAACCGCCCCCTACACACTACCCCTACACACTACGGCCCACTCCCAAACCGCCCCCTACACCCTACCCCTACACACTACGGCCCAATTCCAAACCGCCCCCTACACACTACCCCTACACACTACGGCCCACTCCCAAACCGCCCCCTACACCCTACCCCTACACACTACGGCCCAATCCCAAACCAACCCCTACACCCTACCCGTCCGCCACATTATGTGCTGTTCCAAACCAACGAGTGTGGAGGGGGAGTGGGCTATCAAGCCCTCAAACCGCGAGTCTGCATCGGTGCCGACTGGAGACTGGTCTCTACCTGAGCGGTCTCAACGCTGTGTGTGTCCGTCAGGAAACACACTGTTTACAAACAGTTCCAGCAAACATCCACTGATAAATTGCGATGTTAACAACCTCATGATAACCTCATATTTTTTTAACTGAGGATCTACCTGTGTTTAGTCTAGAAAAAGGTCAATGTGTGCATTTTATTATAAAGTTGTGTATATTTACAGACTGTTGCCAAAACTAAGAAGCTTATAAACATCAGGTTTAAAACTAAAAGCTTTACAAAAACACAATTGAAGATGTTTGGAGTTTTATTTTAGTTATTAATGTTTTGTCAAAGAGATGCTGATTTGATACCGTTGATACAGTTACGGCATTTCCTGTTTCTGCCGGAGAGGGGAGTTTGTCCCAAAGCTTGCCGCTGTGTTTACTCCCTCCATCTGACAGGAGGGAGCCTCGTTGAGCTGAGAGTGAGACTCCATGGAGTTCACTCCGTCACGGAGGGGGAGTGTGTAGGGTGTAGGGGGCGGTTTGGGATTGGGCCTTTAAATCAGGTGTTTCCACTTCCTGTTGGGTTGGGTATCGTTTGCATTTTAACGATTCCGGTTCCGATTCGGGTTTTGCTTTTCGATTAGAGTTATTTTCGGTTCTCGATTCCGGTTCTTTGAGAGCGTAAAAAATAAGTCCCGTGCCAATTTCACTGGAAGAAAAATATATTTCTGAAAACATTTCGTCAAATCTGTATTGATATTTACGTATCACTTCATACCGTTTAATTTGGTTGTGGTTATTGAATACAATTATATAAAAATCCTCTTGCAGATATACATGTCTTATGAATCATGAGGCATGTATATCTGTAGTCCGAACGACCACAAAACTACAAACATGGCGGCTCGTTTAGGAACTTTTTTAATCTTAAAAATACACAGAAAGTTCAGGGAAAGTTTCTGAAATGATTAAAAATAAGAATATCTCCACTTCCCTCAGTCAGCGGTCTGATGTCAGCAGAGATTCATTAACCCTAACGTGAAGCGGATCGTCAATCCACATTTTGAAGCAGATATCTTGAAGGAGAATGGGGCATCAGATCTTCCATTTAGGAGCTTAATTTAAATCTTTACCTACCAATATTAACAAGTTTAAAACTCATAATTACAATACGTCCAATGTGAACTGAAGTGCTGCTAATTTAACATTTAGTGATTTTACCCCGAGAGAGGCTAGCTGTTCCCTCCCGTTTCCAGTGTCTATGCTAAGCTAAGCTAACCATGTGCACATGAAGTCACTGTTTGTTTGTAGCCTTTATTTAACCAGGTGAAAATCCCATTGAGATCAACAATCTCTTTTTCAAGGGAGACCTGAAAGACCTGACTCTCTAAATGTTAGCTGACTTTTTCTCTACACTGTGTAACACTAGAGCTGTTACCAAGCAATAACAACACAACTTATAGTACAAAAAACTTTATTTATTGCCAACATTTGGTGTAAAAGATTGTGATTTGAGTGAAAACCCTGAGCAGAGATAAGAAGAGGAAAAGTAAACACAGACTTTAAAGCCTCTCAATGTTTGCAGAGGAAATCTCAGGTGGTCCTGTTTCACCCTGAAGTACCTGACTTTATTCAAATGTATTTATTTCGTAAACATGAGGAAGCACCAGATCACAGATGACTGAGCAACATAAAGACTTTAAACACCTGTCCGGTTTGGAGTTTTAACCCTGAAGTACCTGACTTTTTATTAATTAACCTCAGTATTTAATGTGTTAACGAGGCGGTTTCAGGCCCTCTTCAGGCCCTCTTCAGGCCCTCTTCAGGCCCTCTTCATGCCGCGGGCCATCAGGCAGGCGAACACCGTCATCACCATCTTAGGGTTCACCTCCACCAGGTCCTCCGGCAGCGCGTACACTCGGGCGCCCATCTTCCTCGCCATGGAGATAGCATACCTGCCGAAACAGGAAGTGATCACATCAAAGGTTCTGTTATTCCACCTGAACAATCTGTACTCACATATTCTAGCCTGCTTCCACTACCTCACAGGATATAGGATACTGTTCATTTAAAGCTACTGTAAACAAGTTTTAAATCTGAATCGGGTTAATTGGCAGGTACGTTCACACCTCTGCTGTTCCTGTGAGATATTTTATTCTGCAAGATAAGATAGGACTGTATTTATCCCGAAGGAAATTGTTGTGCCAGAGTTACAAAGAGACAGTAAACAGTGCAATAAAAACAGTTAATTAAATATCTACAAGAAACATAGACGGTCACATAACTAATGCAAAAAACTGACAAGCAGTAATGAAAAGTGCAAAAAGATGTAGTGGCAGATACGTAATTGCACGTTATTATTGCACATTAGTATTATTATTGCACGTTATATAGCAGCGAGTGTTTGTAATGATGGTATTAATATTGCACAGTGGGAGGAGTTATAGAGTTTGATGGGAGGAAAGAGCTCCTGTGGTCTCAGTGGTCTCAGTGGTCTCAGTGGTCTCAGTCTACAGCTGAACGTGCTCCTGTGGTCTCAGTGGTCTCAGTCTACAGCTGAATGTGCTCCTGTGGTCTCAGTGGTCTCAGTCTACAGCTGAACGTGCTCCTGTGGTCTCAGTGGTCTCAGTGGTCTCAGTCTACAGCTGAACGTGCTCCTGTGGTCTCAGTGGTCTCAGTCTACAGCTGAATGTGCTCCTGTGGTCTCAGTGGTCTCAGTCTACAGCTGAACGTGCTCCTGTGGTCTCAGTCTACAGCTGAACGAGCTCCTGTGGTCTCAGTGGTCTCAGTCTACAGCTGAATGTGCTCCTGTGGTCTCAGTGGTCTCAGTCTACAGCTGAACGAGCTCCTGTGGTCTCAGTGGTCTCAGTCTACAGCTGAATGTGCTCCTGTGGTCTCAGTGGTCTCAGTCTACAGCTGAACGTGCTCCTGTGGTCTCAGTCTACAGCTGAACGTGCTCCTGTGGTCTCAGTGGTCTCAGTGGTCTCAGTGGTCTCAGTCTACAGCTGAACGTGCTCCTGTGGTCTCAGTGGTCTCAGTGGTCTCAGTGGTCTCAGTCTACAGCTGAACGTGCTCCTGTGGTCTCAGTGGTCTCAGTGGTCTCAGTGGTCTCAGTCTACAGCTGAACGTGCTCCTGTGAATGTGAATCTGAAGTGTATACTTTGCGTTGTTGAGCTTCTCGTCCTCCGTCAGGTCTTCAGTCTTCAGCAGGTCGTATCTGATTGATCCGGGCTGGATGGAGTCGATCAGGTCCAGGACCGGCATGCTGCTGCTGATCGACGCGTCCTGAGACACAGGAGCAGAGAGAGGGGTTGAGGAGGGGGATTACAGAGTGGTAATGTGTAATTGTAAATATAAATATAGAAAAAAGTTTAAAACTATAGCGTTTTTTATAAAGTTACAAAAAAAGGTTAGTTAGTAAAGCATGTTGTTAAAAAGTATTTTTTTTATAAAATGTCTTAAATAAAAACAAAAGTCACATATGTAAAAAAAAAAAAAGGTTAAAACAATTTTGAAATCTCGTAAATGTAAAAAAAATAAAAAGTCCTAGTATAGTATGTTAATAAAAAGGATAAAATGTCAAAAAGGTAAATGTCATAGTATAGGCATATGGAATATGGAAAGTAAAATAAATAAATCGTAACGTTAAAAAAAAAGTCCTCACAGAACGGGTTATATCTCAATACGTGGTCCTCATAAATACAGCAAAACAAACATGCACACAATGATGAATGTGTGGTCCTCATAAGTATAGCAAAACAAACACACCAAGACACACACATACATGACAATTATAAATTGTAGAAAAAAGGGTAAAATATAGTCTGGTATGTTTTTTATTTTTTATAATGAAATGTAAAAACGTCATAAGTCCAAAAAGTAAATAAAGGTAAAAATGTCCAGAAAGGTTGAAAGAAAAGTATAGTGTCGAAGAAAGTCAAGGTATGTCCAAAAGAGTTACAAAAAGTTTAAAATAGTCGTAATATAATATGTAAAAAAATGTTGGGAAAAAGTAATGGTATTTCAGAAAAAGCTCCTTGAAATAAATATAATATTAATATCCAGGTGTGTGTTTGTTCACCTTGAAGCTGCTGATGGTGGGTTTCCCCGCCTGATTGAGAGCGTCGTTCACCCAGCACACAATGGTGTCATCCGTCACTTTACGACCGTCGCCCAGATCCTCCAGGATGTTCAGAGTGTACCTGAGGAGACACACCGCCACAATAAAAGATCATCCCGAGGAGACACACCGCCGAAATAAAAGATCATCCTGAGACACACCTTCAAACTAAAAGCAGGTCCTGAGGGTAAACAACACCTTCAAAATAAAAGCTGGTCCTGAGGGTAAACAACACCTTCAAAATAAAAGCTGGTCCTGAGGATAAACAACACCTTCAAAATAAAAGCTGGTCCTGAGGGGAAACAACACCTTCAAAATAAAAGCTGGTCCTGAGGGGAAACAACACCTTCAAAATAAAAGCTGGTCCTGAGGGGAAACAACACCTTCAAAATAAAAGCTGGTCCTGAGGGGAAACAACACCTTCAAAATAAAAGCTGGTCCTGAGGATAAACAACACCTTCAAAATAAAAGCTGGGACTGAGGATAAACAACACCTTCAAAATAAAAGCTGGTCCTGAGGATAAACAACACCTTCAAAATAAAAGCTGGTCCTGAGGGTAAACGACACCTTCAAAATAAAAGCTGGTCCCGATTTTTGTGTTTGTTTTTCTTCCAGAGAATGGATGCTTTTCGTAGGAGATTTGTTCAGAGATCACCGAGGTAGTAACTGTTTGATGGTAAAGGTTTAAAGAGTTTTAGTTTTAGTTACCTCCTCATGAGCTGCCAGAGCAGAGCGAGGGTGAGCTTTCGATTCCCGGAGTGCAGGTCCTGCCCCGCGATGCCGACCAGAGAGAACTTGGCCTCCTTCTTCCCCAACTCCACCGCGTAGTTACAGTTCTCCAGCTGAAACAGGAGGATTTATCTCTCACTGAAGTTACACACTCTTTGATTTTAGAGGAATATTTTAACATTTAAAAAACGTGTTGAAAAATGTTTGAAAAAAAGTACAAAAATAAGTAATGTAAAAAAAAGTTGAAAAAAGTCAATGAAGGTTATTTTGTCAAAAAAAAGACAAAAGGTTGAGGTATTGATTTTCAAAAGAAGTTTTAAATACAGTCAGTATAGTATTCTGGAAAATAAATATATAGTTAAGAATAAAATGTAAAAAAAAAAACTGTAGAAAGCAGAAAAAAAAGTTGAAAATAAAAAAGTCACACTTTAGTATGTCGGAAATAGTTTAGTATAGTATCTGGAAAAAAGTAAAAGAAGATAATAGAAGATTTTGAGATATAGGTATAGTAAGTAAGAAAAAGGAATTTAAAAAGTCATAAAAAGTTCATATATGTCTCTTTCAAAAAAAGTAATTGTATAGTATGTATGTCGACCAAAAAAACTAGTCGGAAAAGTTAAAGAATGGTATAAAATGTACAACAGCGATAATAGTAGTACGTCAAATAAAGTACAGAACATCATTTAGATTGTGTTGAGATTCAGCATGCACAGTATCCTCAGTATCTGTATTTCGTCACCTTCTTCATGTTGCTTCCCAGTTTGGAGTATGGCGGCTTGTTGACTTTGTCCCAATCCACCGGGACCTTAATCTTCTCGTACAGCTGGAAGATCACCAGCGCGTCGTCAATGTCCCTGAAACACAACGCAAAAACAAAAAGTAAAAGGTCATGTAAGTCATAACAATTACAAGACAATCATAATACGTCATAAAAAAAGAAATAAGTAATAGAAATGATGAAAAGTCACGGCATAATGTGTCGTTAAAAAATACAATATTGAATTGAATTGAATTGACAATAAATGTCACAATAAAACATAATTTTAAATTGTACCATTCCTTTGTTATCCTATTTCAAACCATGTCCTCCGCCTGAATGTCTTGCAGTGTTCAGAGACACTATGTATATGTTTATTTCGCTATTTTATTTATTTATCTTTAATATCGCTATTGAATAAAAATCTCCCATAGTTTCCGTTTGTTTATATAAATGTATGTATGTGTCTTGGTGTGTTTGTTTTGCTATACTTATGAGCACCAAATATTCGTCATTGTGTGTACGTATGTTTGTTTTGCTATACTTATGAGAACCAAACATTCGTCATTGTGTGTACGTATGTTTGTTTTGCTATACTTATGAGGACCAAGCATTCGTCATTGTGTTTACGTATGTTTGTTTTGCTATACTCATGAGGACCAAGCATTCGTCATTGTGTGTGTATGTATGTTTGTTTTGCTATACTTATGAGGACCAAACATTCGTCATTGTGTGTACGTATGTTTGTTTTGCTATACTTATGAGTACCAAACATTCGTCATTGTGTGTACATATGTTTGTTTTGCTATACTTATGAGGACCAAACATTCGTCATTGTGTGTATGTATGTTTGTTTTGCTGTATTTATGAGGATCAAATATTGAGATATAACCCATTCTGTGAGGACTTTTAGTTTTGTCCTCACCAAAAAATACTGTAACGGCCTCAAGATGAACAATACTCAATGTTTTTATATTTTCAGCAACTGTCCTCATAAGAAAAGTAATGGCTTGTATATATATATATATGTTGTTTTCTTACACGTAGAGGTGGTTCACTCGAGGATTCACTCCCAGAGAATTCATCCAGTTCCTGAAGGTCCGCTCCTCCCGGGTCTCACCTGGAAAACATCCGGAAACATCAGAAAACTGAAGAGAAGCTGAATATAAACGCTCTGTTCTGATATGAACTATAATATAATAATAATCTGAAAACAAATAAATGAATCATCAACAATAATAATAATATGTATATAAAGCTTTTAAATTATTATTATTATTCCCCTGGACCGGTCTGAAATATTCAAACTAAAATATTTTAAATACATATAATAACCAATATGGTAAATCTTTTAAAAGGACAGAAAGTAATAATCATAACAAAAACAATTATTATTATTTATAAACATTTTACTTTCTAAACTTGTATTATCTTTTACAATTTAAGTTTTTTTATTAGTTTTTTTATTAGTTTTCATTTTGTTATAAAGTATTTATTCCTAATTTGACTATATAATATTTTTGTATTATCATTATTTTAAATGTTATTGTTTTGTTTCATGCATTTTGTCATTATTTCCCAGAGGTCTGATCCTGTTAATGTGGGACAATAAATCATCTTTATTAGCAGTTATTTAATATATGTTTTGGTGAGATAAATGAAGCGTTTTCAGAGACAGACGGGGGATAAACGAACCCTCGATGGAGCTCCAGTCGATGTCCACGTTCTCGGGTTTCTTCAGCGCCGGGTATTTGTTGAACAGGTTAGCAACGAAGGCCAGGTTGAGTTTGGGGTTGCCGCGGACGACGTCTGTCGGCATGACGAACTGTCTGCAGCCGAGCCGGTCTGCCTGCTGCAACATCATCTCCGCTCTCTGCACATCGTCCTTCTCCTGTAGGGGGCAGCAAAGAGCTTTAATATCATTTATATACACAGATGTTTTATTATTAATTAACAACGTCCTCCTTCTCCTGCAGGGGGCAACAAAGAGCTTTAATATCCTTTATATAAAGAGATGTATTATTAACAAATTATTAACAAAACACATTTAATATCACCTCTTTGAGACGTGTATAAATGATAATTATTACACATTATTATTATTATTATTAGTTTTATTTTCTCATTTCATTGTTAGGTATTATATATTTATTTGTATTTTTGTACTTTGTGATTAGAGGGTAAAACATACAATATTTATCATTTCCAATAATGCACCGAGGTGGATGCAGTGAGAGCACTTACACTTTAAAAAATACTGCACAGAGAGAGAGATTTTATATAAGAAAAATCTAAATTTCAAGAAAAATCTTGGATATTCTCTGATATTTATAAACACAATAACGAATATCTGCCACACACGACAAAAACTCTAAATCTTGCCCAGTATCTGTGTCTAATATCTAGTCAGAATATGTCTCTCCGCCTGATATAAGACATGATAACTTCAGAAGTAACACTGCTGTGAGATATCGGCTCTTGTTTTTAGACAATGCTTCATCTTGTTAAGTCAAATCATCTTATTTTGAGTTGTATCTCAGATGAAACACATAAAATCTCCTGATTCTGGTCAAATATAGTTCAAAATGAGTTCTCCCAGCTAATTATAAGATGTGATTTATCTAAATATCCCATCTTATTATGTTCTATTGGCAGACTTTTGTACTTATTTCAAGGGAAAACACCTTGTTTTACGTGTTTTTGGAGCAGCATTTTTTCCAGTGCAGGACTAAATGACGGTGTATTGGAGCCATTGCAAGTTTAAAAAAGCCAAGATTAAAACAATACATTTATATTATTTAGTAGTATGGTATATTATGTCATTAACAAGTAAACAAAAGGTATAGAAAAGTATATCAGGATGAGGTTTATAAACAGATATCATGTAATAAAAGTGTGATCTCATGTCTGACCCTGAGTCCGGACACATCGATGGCGATGGGGGGGATCCCCTCCTCGTCTCCTTTGGGGGCGACCTGGTTCAGGATGTTGTAGTACGCCTTCGAGTCCTGAAACACAAGAAATATAAACAATATATTTTAATCCGTCATGTAGTTTCCTTGATTTTTCACTTCTTGTTTATTATTTAAAATGGTACATTCTGGCTTTTTTATCATTTATTTAGCTTTTGAATAAAAATCTCCCATCTTTTCTGTGTGTTTATGTAAATGTATGTATGTGTCTTGGTGTGTTTGTTTTGCTATACTTATGAGGACCAAACATTCATAAATGTGTAAAGTATTGAGATATAACCCATTCTGTGAGGACCTTTTGTTTTGTCCTCACCAAAAAATACTGTTACGGCCTCATGATGAACAATACCCAATGTTTGATATTTTCTGCAACAGTGCTCTTAAGAAAAGTAATGGCTCCCCCTAGAGGACATATGTTTGTACTACAGCTGACATGTTTTCAGAATCAGGTTTATTGCAAAGTAGGTTTACACATACATATATATGGATCATACATAAACACAGTTAAAGAAGATCAATTGTAAGAAAAACTACCCAAAAAAAACGATTTAAAAAAAAAAATGATTATAACATTAAAATATAGAAAATGATTTACATGAAATATAGATATACAAAAACTATATATACAGTCAAATATGACAAAATACTCAGAATAGTAAACAAAAATATAAAAAGTGGAAAGCTGTGCAGATATTAAGAGAGGTAGCTTGTGTACAAATGTGTGTAAAAATTATTTTAACATTGAAATTATTCACATGAAATATAGATATACCAAAAGACTATGTACGTATGTGTGTATACCGTGTGTGTGTGTGTGTGTGTGTGTGTGCGTGTGTGTGTGTGTGTGTGTGTGTGTGTGTGTGTGTGTGTGTACCTTGATGTCAGAGCTGAAGTTGTTGATCTTGCTGCAGCCGGCCTCCTCCAGGTGGAAGTTGGCCCAGCGCAGCAGCAGCTCTTCCGGGGAAAGTTTCATCAGATCCTCCAGAGACTCTCCGTCACGCAGAAGAGCCATCAGAGCTACACACACACACACACACACACACACACACACACACACACACACACACACACACACACACACACACAAAGGGATACAAATCAGTGTACTGAAACTACTTGTGTAAATATATACTGTATATATAGCGCTTCATAATTATTGTTATTATTGGCTGCTGTCTCTTAGATGGACAACTTAACTTTTGTAAATAACTGTTCAATATATACTTACACTGTGAATACTATCACCTAGCTGCTATCACACCACTGTATACATGCTACATTACATGACATGTTACTTGTTAGACGCTTTTATCCAAAGCGACTCACATACTCAATACTGTGGACAATCCCCACAGGAGCAGTTTGGGGTGAAGTGTCTCAGGGACACAACGACATGCTGACTGCAGTGGGACTCGAACTTGCTACCCCCTGATTCGAAGTCCAGCACTCTATCCACTTAGCCACAGCCGCCCGCTGCTACACTTACTGGTACTACATGTGTATTTAAAAAATTATCATTTCAATTTGTATCTTTGATATTTTATGCATGCTTCTTAATTATTTTCAAGCTGTCTTTGGCTCTTTACTTGCTGTAACTTTACATTTCCCCTCTGTGGGGCGGCTAAAGTTATTCTGATTTGATTTACATGTGTGTAGACTTTTTGCACTACTTTGTATTTTGTATTTTTGTATTTTATTATATATGTTGCATTGTTGGAGGAGCTCAGGTCAGAAGATTTTCATTGCCATTTCTACACTGTAGCTGCTGAGCATCTGATGATAAAACCTTTGAATCTAATTTCATACATTTTTTAAGTTTTTATGGCTATACCTCGTGCTGCAGTTGTGTTTGACATTGTTATTAATATTAAGCTCGATGTCTGCATGCTTCTTAATTATTTTCAAGCTATCTTTGGCTCTTTACCTACTGTAACAATGTGAATTGACCCTCTATGGGGCGAGTAAAGGTATTCTGATGAGTTTTTAAGGCTATAGTTCGTGCTGCAGTTGTATTTGACTTTGTTATTGATACTAACCTTCGTTCCTGCTGAGCTCGATGTCAGCGAACAGCCCGATCTTGATGACCTGCCACAGCAGACCCAGGACCAGGTGCTGCCGGCCCTCCTTCAGGTCCTCCGCCCCTATGTTGACCACGTGGCAGCCAATGGCCGACGACGAGTTCAGAGCCAGGTTCAGGTTCTCCTGCAGATCAGAGACCCCAAGATTCAAAGGTTTTATTGTCATATGCACAAAGCTAAACAATTGTTAAATACCAACCAATGTGCAATATATATATATATATATATATATATATATATATATATATATATATATATATATATATATACAGTACATTGACTACAGGTCTTTGAAGATCTGGAAAGATTCACCAAAAACCAAACTAGTGTTTTAGTGACCAAATAAACAGCAATGCTCAGATCAATTACTTATTCATGTTTTAAAGGTGAATGTATTCTTGTGTTAATATCACTCTATAACCATAATACGTTACGTAGCCTATCTGTTCATTGTGACTGTCTTTTCACACTAAAATGGTCCTGACGCCCTCTACAGTGGACATACTGTAACAATTAAAAATCAAATTAAATTAAAAAAGTCTAAATTGCAAGATGTTTTTTTAACCCTAAATATGTAGGAAATAAAAAATAGAGAAGATCGGAAAACATATTTTTTCCTCGGTTCCCAGGAGGAAAACCTGTTCGCACCGCGTTTCACTGACTGTCCTTTATTTTATTTATTTTTTATTCTAACCTTTTATGCTCTTAACCTTTTTTTTATATGACCATATTTTATTCAATATGCTCCTTAGATCACTTTTTATTTGATTTGTTTTATTATTTTCTCCTCATAGCATTGACCTTGAGATGACGTTGTTTTTAAAGGGTGCTATATCAATGAAATGTATTATTATTATTATATATATATGCCATTAATAACTGTGCAATATATCCCTAAAATACTAAAATACAGAATAGAAAGTAGAGCAAAAAGTCTATATACATGTCAATAGAAGAGCAGGGTTATTAAATCAAACCGGTAACAAACAGCAGACACCTTGTGTTAGTAACTGAGATTTGATGAAGAAGTTCAGCCTCAATCTGATTCATGAACGGCAGGTTTTCTATAAATAAAATCCTTTCTGATCCTAAATATCTTCTTCTTCTCTGAGGTCACGTTGTTCTCGTGTCTTACAGAATACACTTCACTCAAAAACATCTTATTGATATTTATTTTCTCTTGGATTTATTTGCATTGCATTTGATATTGAGGTAATCCAAAAGTAATGAGATTACTTTTATATTTGGATGCTTTTAAAGGTTTCTAGTAATTATAACGGATATCTGCTGTAATGCAGGAGCTGATGGACGTGCTAACAAACTAAATGAATATATATATATATTTATATATGAAAGTTACCTGGATGGTGAAGGGAGTGAGTTTCTATATGAAAGTGTGTGTTACCTGGATGGTGTGTGTTACCTGGATGGTGTGTGTTACCTGGATGGTGTGTGTTACCTGGATGGTGTGTGTTACCTGAGAGTGTGTGTGTTACCTGGATGGTGTGTGTTACCTGAGAGTGTGTGTGTTACCTGGATGGTGTGTGTTACCTGAGAGTGTGTGTGTTACCTGGATGGTGTGTGTTACCTGGATGGTGTGTGTTACCTGAGAGTGTGTGTGTTACCTGGATGGTGTGTGTTACCTGGATGGTGTGTGTTACCTGGATGGTGTGTGTTACCTGGATGGTGTGTGTTAACTGGATAGTGCGTGTTACCTGAAAGTGTGTGTTACCTGAAAGTGTGTGTTACCTGGATGGTGTGTGTTACCTGGATGGTGTGTGTTAACTGGATAGTGTGTGTTACCTGGATAGTGTGTGTTACCTGGATGGTGTGTGTTACCTGGATGGTGTGTGTTACCTGAGAGTGTGTGTGTTACCTGGATAGTGTGTGTTACCTGGATGGTGTGTGTTACCTGGATGGTGTGTGTTACCTGGATGGTGTGTGTTACCTGAGAGTGTGTGTGTTACCTGGATAGTGTGTGTTACCTGGATGGTGTGTGTTACCTGGATGGTGTGTGTTACCTGGATGGTGTGTGTTACCTGAGAGTGTGTGTGTTACCTGGATGGTGTGTGTTACCTGAGAGTGTGTGTGTTACCTGAGAGTGTGTGTGTTACCTGAGAGTGTGTGTGTTACCTGGATGGTGAAGGGAGTGAGTTTCTTCTTGTTGATCGTCCTCTCGTCGATGGTGTCGGGGACGGACAGGTTGATCATCTTACTGACAAGAAAACATTTTAATATGAACACACATTAACAGAGAGAAACACAACCTAGAACACACGTATGGTTTAATGGCTTGATTACATTTTGATGATCTTTTTAAACTCTTTTTCTTTAATTAAATGTATTATGTTAATATATTTCACAAAACCAGTTCAGGTTAGTTCAAAGCAATAACATTACGTTAAACTTAATATTATTGCCTTCAACTAAACTGATACAGTTGTGTGAAATATGTTGACATTTAATTAAAGTCAATGCTTCAGTGTTTTCAGTGAACTTTGGAAGTTTTACAACAAACTACAACTTCATGGTTAGAATTTAGAAAATGCTGTATTTATTGATGTCCTTCTGGATCGGTACTTTTCTTTCTCTAATATTGAATGCCTCTTTATTAACACTTAGCCTCTTTACTTTTGCTGTCACAATATAACGTCTCCTCTGTGGGAAAAACAAAGGTCTCTTTCTGTTTCTGATTGATTGCGCGTTGTACCAGAGCACGATGCCGTCCCCCATGGCGGTGAACAGGTCGTCGGTGTGGGGGTCCATCGGCAGGACGTGTTTACAGTCAGCATCTTTCTCCAGAGCTTTATTGATCCAGTTCACAAACGCCACCTTCTCCTCCTCTGCACGGGAAACAAACCACAGTCAAAGCAACTCCTAAATATATACTCTATTGCAAGGTTTCAAGGCTTTTATTGTCATTCTACTGTGTAGTTATGTCAATGGAAATCTGAGGTCACAGGCTCCTCCAACAGAGCAACACAATACAACAGATACAATAGTGCAAGTAAATACAAATTAAAACAAATCAAATCGAATAGTAATATAGACTCTGATTGCACTCTTTCTATTCTATTTGATTTGTTTTTATGTTACTAATGGCTGCTACCAAGATAGAAAATCCACAGCCTTGATTTCATTTGAGTAACATGTAGTTTCCTTGATTTTAAATGTGTTGTTTATTATTTTAAGTTTTGCATTCTGGCTTTCATATATTTTATCGCTATTGAATACAAATCTCCCATAGTTTCTGTGTGTTTCCGTGTGTTTTTGTAAATGTATGTGTCTTGGTGTGTTTGTTTTGCTGTACTTATGAGGACCAAACATTCGTCATTGTGTGTACGTATGTTTGTTTTGCTGTACTTATGAGAACCACACATTCGTCATTGTGTGTACGTATGTTTGTTTTGCTGTACTTATGAGGACCACACATTCGTCATTGTGTGCACGTATGTTTGTTTTGCTGAAAATCTTGCATAGTTTAAATATAGAAAATGTGAATATCAATAATATGTTTAGTACCTGAGTAAGAGTGCTGTGTTCCCGACTGCTCCGACGTTCCCGCCACGTTCCTGAGTCCCTCTTTCTTATTGATGGCTTTCCGGAAGGTCTTGGCCACGTCGCTGCTCTTCAGCCCGTGCACTATCTGGAGGGGGAGAATACACATGTTTAAATATATAACAAACGCCATACTGTATATACTTTACTTTTACCATGCATACATGTTGGCTGCTACTTCAGTACTTGTTTATGTTCACATACTTTTTTATAATTCTGCTACTTTTTACAATAGATGTGTTTAATTGTTATTAAATGAACGCGTGGTTGACTCTTTGTTTAATATGTCCGTGTACTGTTTTATTTAGCATTTTATTTGCACCCTGCTCTCTGTTCTCTGATGAGAACCTTTTCCGTCTCTGCTAGAGAGCAGGTACTTTCGTGGGAGAAAAAGGTTCCTATTTCTGATTGGCTGGGCGCATTGCAAACCACGCCCCGTAAAACTCCCAAAAGGTTTTGTGAAGCCGCCATTTTCTTTGCTCGCATTAGCATTATTAGCATTAGCATTCGCCCAGCGCAGAAACGCAGAGAGACTAACTTATGGCAACACAAAAGAAAACATGGGAGCGGTGGAGATGAGGAGGTGTCGACGTTCTGGCGATTTACTCTGAAGCCAGTCCCCAACTCCGGGGACTTCCGGCCGGGGACTCCGGGTGGCAGTATACGCCGTGAAGTTGTTTGCGGCCTGCCAGTAAACCCAAAACAGAAGAAGAAGAAGTGACGTCAGCGGCTTCATTTGCCTAATCCTCCCTCAGGGACTTATTCCGGTGTGAACGCGATCTGTACTTAGTTCATGAGAACTAAAGAGTTCTGATTAACTAAGTACTGGGAACTAAGTACGGCAAAGTACTTGGTGTGAAAGCGCCTATTCAGCACCTCTCCTTTGGAATCGTCTTCCATTTGAGATCCAAAGCAATTTCCGTTGATTGCTTCAAAAGCAAACTCAAAGCCTCATCTGTCTTCCTCTTCAACTAGCGTCCATCACCTAGTTCCCATCTTCATGAGCATCACTTCAGTCTCATGCTTTTATCACATGGCAATACTAATGTTGATGTATAATGTTATAACTGTTTTTATCATTTGTATGCTATGACGCTTGTTTGCTTTGTACAGCCCTTTGAGGCATTTTTTGTGATTGGAGTAAAAATACTTTGTTACTGTACTTAAGTACATGTTTCTGGTATCAGTACTTTACTCCACTACTTATTTTTCTGACCACTTTTTACTTTGACTTCTTACATGTTGAACCCAAATACCTGTACTTTCTACTTCTTACATGTTGAACCCAAATACCTGTACTTTCTACTTCTTACATTTTGAACCCAAATACCTGTACTTTCTACTTCTTACATGTTGAACTCAAATACCTGTACTTTCTACTTCTTACATGTTGAACCCAAATACCTGTACTTTCTACTTCTTACATGTTGAACACAAATACCTGTACTTTCTACTTCTTACATGTTGAACCCAAATACCTGTACTTTCTACTTCTCACATGTTGAACACAAATACCTGTACTTTCTACTTCTTACATGTTGAACCCAAATACCTGTACTTTCTACTTCTTACATGTTGAACACAAATACCTGTACTTTCTACTTCTTACATGTTGAACACAAATACCTGTACTTTCTACTTCTTACATGTTGAACCCAAATACCTGTACTTTCTACTTCTTACATGTTGAACCCAAATACCTGTACTTTCTACTTCTTACATGTTGAACTCAAATACCTGTACTTTCTACTTCTTACATGTTGAACCCAAATACCTGTACTTTCTACTTCTTACATGTTGAACCCAAATACCTGTACTTTCTACTTCTTACATGTTGAACTCAAATACCTGTACTTTCTACTTCTTACATGTTGAACTCAAATACCTGTACTTTCTACTTCTCACATGTTGAACACAAATACCTGTACTTTCTACTTCTCACATTTTCCAAACAGGCTGGTTCCTTTAGTTTGAATGTGTGTTTGGTGGCGTGATCATTATTATTTAGAGTCATTGCGTGCCTATTGATTTGAACACGATCCGTGTATCCATCATTTCCTGGTCTTCTCTAAAGAAGAGGGACCAATGAAAACGTTGTCATGTTGCCGTTGTTCAGCATGGAAACATTCATTAGCTAACAATGACATTATTGTTCTATTAATATAAAGGGAGGTCAGGTACTCTTTAAAACAGCTGCTAGTTATGGGTACTTTTTACTGAAGTCCATTTCAAAGCCTCTTTACTTTGACTTGAGTAAAGAAGTTTAGTCAGTACTTCTACTTTCACCAGAGTATTTTTAAACACAAGTATCTGTACTTCTACTTGAGTAAAGGATGTGTGTACTTCTACTTGAGTACAGGATGTGTGTACTTCTACTTGAGTAAAGGATGTGTGTACTTCTACTTGAGTAAAGGATGTGTGTACTTCTACTTGAGTACAGGATGTGTGTACTTCTACTTGAGTACAGGATGTGTGTACTTCTACTTGAGTACAGGATGTGTGTACTTCTACTGTAGTACAGGATGTGTGTACTTCTACTTGAGTAGAGGATGTGTGTACTTCTACTGTAGTACAGGATGTGTGTACTTCTACTTGAGTACAGGATGTGTGTACTTCTACTGTAGTACAGGATGTGTGTACTTCTACTGTAGTACAGGATGTGTGTACTTCTACTTGAGTACAGGATGTGTGTACTTCTACTTGAGTAAAGGATGTGTGTACTTCTACTTGAGTACAGGATGTGTGTACTTCTACTTGAGTACAGGATGTGTGTACTTCTACTGTAGTACAGGATGTGTGTACTTCTACTGTAGTACAGGATGTGTGTACTTCTACTGTAGTACAGGATGTGTGTACTTCTACTTGAGTACAGGATGTGTGTACTTCTACTTGAGTAAAGGATGTGTGTACTTCTACTTGAGTACAGGATGTGTGTACTTCTACTTGAGTACAGGATGTGTGTACTTCTACTGTAGTACAGGATGTGTGTACTTCTACTGTAGTACAGGATGTGTGTACTCTCTCACCTGGGTGAACTGGGGCAGGGTGAGCTGTTCTGAGGACACGGTGAGCTCCTGGACGATCTCCCTCACTCTGTACCCCGGCAGCGGCAGGTTGGCGGCTCTGAACAGCTCCGTCAGCTCGTCCTTACTGATGAAGCCGTTATTATCCACATCTGCAGGAGAAAAAGAAGCTCTCATGAGATGTAGTTTACACGTAATGGAGACAACATTAAAACTCAAACAGCTTCTCCTGAAACTCACTGAAAGAGCTCTTTAAACACAACTGGAATAACAGCTGAACACACACGTATGAGATGTAGCTCAAACAACATTACAACTCAATGTTTTTCAATCAATCAATCAATCAATCAATCAATGTTTATTTATAGCCCAATGTCACAAATGTTGTATAATGTTTTTATAATTGTTATGCTATGACGTTAGTATTTAGTTTTAGTCTTTGCTCTTGTTTGCTCTGAGCAGCCCTTTGAGGCCTTTCTTGAGATTTGGGGCTTTAATACATTTTGATTTGATTGGAAGTGTTAAATGTTAAATGTTAAATGTTAAATGTTAAATGTTGAATGTTAAATGTTAAATGTTAAATGTTAAATGTTAAATGTTGAATGTTAAATGTTAAATGTTAAATGTTGAATGTTAAATGTTGAATGTTAAATGTTAAATGTTAAATGTTAAATGTTGAATGTTAAATGTTAAATGTTGAAATGTTGAATGTTGAATGTTGAATGTTAAATGTTGAATGTTAAATGTTAAATGTTGAATGTTAAATGTTGAATGTTAAATGTTAAATGTTGAATGTTAAATGTTAAATGTTGAATGTTGAATGTTGAATGTTAAATGTTAAATGTTAAATGTTGAATGTTAAATGTTGAATGTTAAATGTTAAATGTTAAGTGTTAAGTGTTAAGTGTTAAGTGTTAAGTGTTAAGTGTTAAATGTTAAGTGTTGATTGTTAAATGTTAAATGTTAAATGTTAAATGTTAAATGTTAAATGTTAAATGTTAAGTGTTAAGTGTTAAGTGTTAAGTGTTGATTGTTAAATGTTGAATGTTAAATGTTAAATGTTAAATGTTAAATGTTAAATGTTAAATGTTAAATGTTAAGTGTTGAATTTGAATGTAAATGTTGAATGTTAAATGTTAAATGTTAATGTTGAATGTTAAATGTTAAATGTTGAATGTTAAATGTTAAATGTTAAATGTTGAATGTTAAATGTTGAATGTTAAATGTTAAATGTTAAATGTTAAATGTTGAATGTTAAATGTTGAATGTTAAATGTTAAATGTTGAATGTTGAATGTTGAATGTTGAATGTTAAATGTTGAATGTTAAATGTTAAATGTTGAATGTTAAATGTTGAATGTTAAATGTTGAATGTTAAATGTTGAATGTTAAATGTTAAATGTTAATGTTAAGTGTTAAGTGTTAAGTGTTAAGTGTTAAATGTTAAGTGTTGATTGTTAAATGTTAAATGTTAAATGTTAAATGTTAAATGTTAAATGTTAAATGTTAAGTGTTAAGTGTTAAGTGTTAAGTGTTAAGTGTTGATTGTTAAATGTTGAATGTTAAATGTTAAATGTTAAATGTTAAATGTTAAATGTTAAATGTTAAATGTTAAGTGTTGAATGTTGAATGTTAAATGTTGAATGTTAAATGTTAAATGTTGAATGTTGAATGTTAAATGTTAAATGTTGAATGTTAAATGTTAAATGTTAAATGTTGAATGTTAAATGTTGAATGTTAAATGTTAAATGTTGAATTTTAAATGTTGAATGTTAAATGTTGAATGTTAAATGTTAAATGTTGAATGTTGAATGTTGAATGTTGAATGTTAAATGTTGAATGTTAAATGTTAAATGTTGAATGTTAAATGTTGAATGTTAAATGTTGAATGTTGAATGTTAAATGCCTGTTCTGTTAAATGTTGCCTGTTCCCATGTTCCCTGTTGCCTGTTGCTGTCCACTGTTGCCTGTTCCCATGTTCCCTGTTCCCTGTTGCTGTTCCCTGTTCCTGTTCCCTGTTGCCTGTTGCCTGTTCCTGTTCCCTGTTGCCTGTTCCCTGTTTGTTGTGTTTCACTGTTGCCTGTTGTGTTGCCTGTTTGTTGCATGTTCCTGTTGAATGTTGAATGTTGAATGTTGAATGTTGAATGTTGAATGTTGAATGTTGAATGTTAAATGTTGAATGTTAAATGTTAAATGTTGGACGTACCGATCTTGGCGAAGGCTTCTCTCAGCTCCTCCTGCTCCTCCGGGCTGATGGGGGTCGGGTTGCTCATCTTAGGAACCTGAAGCTGAAGAGAGAGAAACATTAACACCAGAGGAAGAGGAAGAGGAGGTTCACACTTCCTCTTCCTCTTCTGATGAGCACACACAAGCCTCTCTTTGTTTCCATCTGAGCTCCAGGGGGAGAGTAACAGTCAAAGTCAACTTTAGCCCAATATCTTATCCAAAAGAACACGCTTCATTTGTTCCTTAAATCACTCATTTATATATTCAGTTTCATATTTAATATTCCATCTCTCTCACGTATTTAATTCAACATGTAGTTTTCCTGCTTTCGCTTATTTCCAGTCTTTTCTATTGTTATTTGTGTTTCAGCTGCAACACCAACATGTCCCACATCGGGATCATAAAGTACTTCTGATCTGATCTCTTATCTTACACACACACACACACACACACACACACACACACACACACACACACACACACACACACACACACACACACACACACACACACACACACACACACACACACACACACACACACACACACACTCAGTTTGATTTGACATTTAAATATGAATTATTTATCCGTTACTTGTTAATTTTCTCGTATAAATTGTTGCAGAATTGTATTTTTATATAACTGTAAAGTAAAAACATAAACTCAACACTTTCATTTTTGTTCCAATTAATCGTGGAATTAAATATGAATAAATAAAAACACTTTTTTGAAGACAACAGACTTCATTTTGTCCAGTTTGGTCCAAAACGAGAAGTCACATTTCCCCACAGCAGAAACTGGAAGTGTAAATGAAATCTATATTTAAATATAAATGCATTTAAATGAGTTTCAGTCAACATGGTGTTTGTTCAGAAAGGAAAGATCTGCAGAAGAGGAAGTGTTTCTGAGAAGTGATCACATGACGCCTTATTTCAGTCCGATTAACACAGTCACATCCTTTTTAGGAGCTAGAGAGAAGCGGGAGGATGTGAAGAAAGAGGTGTGTGTGTGTGTGCCTGTGTGTGTGTGTGTGTGTGTGTGTGTGTGTGTGTGTTTGTGTGTGTGTGTGTAATGCTTTTAAACCACAGTCTTCACATCACCTTTAAGAAGACTGAGGCTAAGATGACGCATTGAATGACATTTAAATTTACTCTGAGGTCATTAACGGGGAAAAGTAGAAGAAATTTGGCAAAAGAAATACACTTTCGTTACAATAATGATGGCATTTATTTAACATGTTATTTTATCATTTTATTGTTGGTATCTACTCTTAATTGAGTTATGGTTGCTTTTTTTTATCTTACTATGTATTGTATTTTTACAGTAAAATATTTGGTGTGGTTTTTCAGGTTATTGAGGATGTTGTATCAATTTCTGCCATTTTCAGGATCAAAAATGCTAATATTTTGTCCCTAGAAACGTTAAAATGGACCCAAAATGAATCAAACCCAGCCCACAGAGAGAATAAAGATGGCCACTTTCTGGTTAAAACGTCTCTTTATGATCCTAGAAAGGTCAGAAATGGATTCAGCTTCCTCAATAACCCCCGAAACCTCTCTAAAACTGTCCAAATCGGCCAAGCCATTTTTTTAGCTTTTGCCTGCAGATGCTAAGAAACGCAGCTAATGCTAACTGTGCTAATTGCCCAACATGTGCACAATGAGCCCGTGCTGGAGACCCTGAGCCCGTGCTGGAGACCCTGAGCCCGTGCTGGAGACCCTGAGCCCGTGCTGGAGACCCTGAGCCCGTGCTGGAGACCCTGAGCCCGTGCTGGAGACCCTGAGCCCGTGCTGGAGACCCTGCTCTACAGTTCTAACATTAACTTACATTTCCCTGAGAGCTGGAAACAGCCCGTGATGTCAGAGGAGTTTTAGTTTTTGTGCAGTTGAAGAGAAGCTAACCACAACTTCCTGTTCAAACTTCAGTTTCTGCAGAGCTTTAACTTCCTCTCGCCCCTGAAGGCCTCGCGCTCACGAAAGCTGCTGTTTTAAAATAAACGTTTAAAATGACCGAGGTTGAAGAAGAAGTACTCGGATTTCTTACTGAGGTTAAAATAACAATACTACATTTTAAAAGTACTCAGTTGAGTAAAATAGAACTTAAAGAAAAGTACAAGAGTTTTATTAAAAGTACTCGTTCATATGTGTAATATTACAGAACACTAGAGTAGTCGGTTTTATTGTTAGAAAAACACACATTAGAGATGTTTAATGCTGTAATTCATCATTGTGGATACATCGTGTACTTCTGAGTAGATGCTATATATATATCCTTTTAACACAACACATGTTTTTAGTGTAAAAGAAGTAGTAGAAGTACTCACATCTTGTACTTAAGGAAGAGTGTAAGTACCATAGTCTAGGAATACAAGTACAAAAGTATCAGCATCAAATTAAAGTTGAAGTACCAAAAGTACTCGTTACGCCTAAAGGTCGTTTTCAGAATCATATTTATTACGTTTCTGGATAATGATCGGTAGTGGAAGAAGTCAAAGTTAGCTTTAAAAATACTCCATTACAAGTAGAAGTACATATATATATTTCTAAGAACTCATACTGCAGAAAAAGGCCTCTCTATGTGATATGTTTTACTGCTGTACACGAGTTTTAATACACACATTAATGTCACTATGTTGTACCTTAAACAGGTCAATCTGGAGAGTCACTAAAGCCTTAACAAATAATGCATTAGTTCATAGACGTAGTGGAGTAGAAGTAGAAGTAGAAGTAAATGGAAAATGTTTGTTGAAAGAGTTGTGTTGGTTTATGAGGACGTTTTTTACAGAATACTCTGCAGTTTGTAAAGGTATTAAAACAAGCAACGAAAAATACTGTTTTGAAAGTACTTTTTCAGCTAAAATGTCTTTATCATGAATATCTTTGGACATGTAAAGACCTCAGCTCTGAGACACTGAGACTCTTTAGAGACCACGTGATTTATTGAGAGATATATACTATTCTCTGTCCTACTTTATACCATCATCATGACTTTCTACCTCATAGTGTGCATTTATTCTCACAACTAGGACTTTCCAAACCATCATTTAAACTTCCCATCTCCTCATTTTGCCATTTCTCCCGTCTATTTATCTCACGAGTGACTTTAAATCTTACTTTTCTACTTTTATCTCATATTTTCCACACGTTTTGACATCATTTCAACCTTTTTACCATAATTCTGCCATTCGTACCCGACTTTTGATCTCATCTCCACACAGCGTGTGTGTGTGTGTGTGTGTGTGTGTGTGTGTGTGTGTGTGTGTGTGTGTGTGTGTGTGTGTGTGTGTGTGTGTGTGTGTGTGTGTGTGTGTGTGTGTGTGTAGTTACCTGTAGATCGAGGCGTCTGCAGGTGTGTGTCGTGCAGAGGAAAGAGTGTGTGTTGCTCTGCGTCCGCGCTGCTCTCTTCTCTGCTCGGCGACAGCGAAGACAGAAGTGCAGATATTCAAATCTACGAGGAAGGAAGTGACACGTGAACCTCAGAAACAGGAATCAAAGGTTTTGTCTTTATATGGCGATGTGAGGTCGACTTCAGAGCTGCAGGTTCTACACTTTGACAGACTGGACATTAAAGGTTAAAGGTGAAGGACTGAGAGTCGACTGATGAAGACGAGACAGAGACAGAGGTGATGTTTGAAGAGGCCCTCATCTGCTTTCTGTGTGGTGTCCCTCTCCTGTAGTTCTATGGGTTTAGTGCATGTCAATGGTCTGCAGAGGATACAATCCCTTGGAAAGTTGTAATATTTAGACAAAAAAAGGCTCAAATATTCAAAGAAAGAAAGCAGATTACATTTGAAAAAAATCATAGTAAATTCTGGGTAAATAATACTCAAAGTAAACGTACTAATACAACAAAGTACTTCAGATCAGTAAAAGTCCTTCACATATTACAAAGGCTGAGTAGTAAAAGTATTATCAGCTTCATGCTGTGTGTACAATTCTGTAGTGTGCACAAAGTACACTAAACAACTGGTACTTTTCCTTTAAATACTTTAACTTTAAGTACTTAAACTTAACATTACTGCTCAGTCAGTACTTTTACTACATTTGACTGCTTGGTTTGTACCTTTACTTCAAGTACTTCAAAGGAAGTCAAACAATTGGAGATTTATTTTTTGAAATACTTCATTAAGAAAATGAACAGCCGAGCCGGCCAGCTGACCAATCAGAGCAGACTGGGCTCTGGTTTCAGACAGAGGGTGAAAAGAGGAGCAACAGACAGGATGAGACAAATAAAGAGCTTTTTGAACATTAAACTTTAGTTGTTGTTCTCGTAAGTGAGTTGAAAGAGTTTAAATTCAACAATATGAATAAACAATAAACCTTTTGATTTGATTTTATGAAACCCTGACTCTTCATGTATTCTTCTTACAATTCAAAGTGGCTGCAGTTCTTCCTGTGGCCACCAGGCGGCAGCAGAACATCACAGTTTCATTTCTACAGACACCCACGTGATGTTTAATAATGCTAGTTATTTCATTAAGTCCTCATGTGCTCCTCAGATATGAGAAGTGTGTGAGAGAGCATACCAGTTAGCTTAGCTTAGCATAAAGACTGTAAACAGATGGAAACTGCTAGCATTTCTCTGTCTGTTTAAATACCAACAACAACAACAACAACAACAACACCATTTTTGTTTAATATTTAATTTGCTGATCAATCTCTTTTTTTTCTTGTTATTTTTTAAAAACTAGTTTATACTTCAATGTGTACATTTACACTTACCCCACTTTTTTAAGTATTAACAGAGTCATTACAGTAATTATTATATAAGTATCATGTAATATAATACATTAAAGTGGACCTATCATGCTATATTTGAATAATATAGTGTAGGACCATACCTATATATAAGGCATATTTATACTTTTTTCTTTTCAAAATACCAAACAG